TGATCAGTCATTTCTATTCAACATTATTATATATCACCTAAGCACTTTACCATCTCCAGAAGCATGAAACCATTTCAGATGTTGCAATGAGGGAAGGATTCAGGGACTTGCTTACAGCCCCATAGGCCCTCTTAGTAACCTGAATGTGAGTGAAAGGCTCATCCACAGAAGATGGCTCCTTTTGGCACTCACCAACCATACCTCTAATCTAGCTCCATCCTGTTTAGCTTTACAGAAATTTCCACCATAAAAAGAAGGCTCGTAGCAATCTAGCCCCAAGACCTACTCCCACTGAGAATAAAGCTTTCTTGATACAGAAGTCCATTCTTCTTAGGTCAGGGTGGCAACTATGGACCAACCATTCACCTAAAGCTACAAGTATAAAATGGCTGATAACAGTAATAATGGAGACAAAAGCAATACCAGCTAACATTTATAATCACTAGTAGGAAATACCTCATTGTGTTTTGATGATATTGTTCATCAAGGTACAGTCAACATATCAAAGTTGGAGGCAGATTTCCGCAGTGTCACTAAAGACCTCAATGACCTTGGAGAAATCTTTCACCCTCTTTGGATTTCAGTGTCTTCTAATAAAAAGGAGTATTCTTGTCCTGTGTACCTTCCTCCAAAAGATAGTATGCATTCTCAGAGAAATAGCAAGACAACATGAAAGCGCAATACAAAACAGAATGTTCTGTCTACACAGACTGCTCTAACAGGAAACTCCAGAGGTGTATTCTGTAGTCCTGAGACTAGCATCTCACCTCAAGAGTCACTAGCCATGCAGTTGCCTTGACTACTAAATTTTCATCTCCCATGTGCAATCATACATGCATGCATGCATGCATGCACACACATTATCAGAACTCATCCTACAAGCAGGATCTGTCAACATTCTGGAAAATTTTGGATCCCTCTGGCTATCAATGAATAATTCTGGAGATGGGTAGAAAGAAGAGAAATAATAAAGGTGCCCTTGATATGATATTGTATTTCTCTAGGAAATTTTACTTCGTTTTTATAAATACCGTACAATCAATTTACTTTTCCAAACGTGGTTCTTCTTTGATTAGACTAGATGGCACTGTGGTATCACCCTTTTAATGCCTGAGAAAAATCATATCGCATTACAATTTTGCTTCAACTGGAAACAACCCAAGAGGCTTCGGTGAGTCCTGGTTATCCTATAGATTATATCTGAAGGAACCTGGCAAAGGACAATGACTACTGAATATATTATTCAGACCACATTAATAGTACATTTACAGACATCACATCCCAACCTACATGTCCAAAAGAACTGGAAAAGGCACACATGCCATATACAAACGTTAGACAAAGCTGTGGCTTCTGCGGCAGTCAAGACTTCTCTTTTACTTCCCCCGCACGGTTGTAGGTGTAGAAGTCCACGTTTGCCCTAAAGATTGCTTTGATCACCATCCCTCAGTACATCTACAAGCTTCACTAGCATAAGAGATTATTTACAGTACTATCAAATGTGAGGGGACTTTCTTAAACACCACAATGCTGTTGTGACAATGACTTACAAAATTCTTGCCATGAACTGAGGCTCAGCCTTCCTGTGACCAAGGTTCTCTAGAGATGGGAAAACAAATCTGTTAGTGTAGAAAGAAAATTAAAAGTTCAAAGGATTCAGCCAGACCTTCGGCCTTTGAGAAAAGCCACTGTAAACTGAGGTCATGACCAGAAAACCAGAGGTTCCCTTTGCTGAAGCTGGACAGAAGAAACCACACCCACAGTTCATTCTTAACAGCCACCTGCAAAACACCACTTTAGCCAGGAAACTGAGTGAGTATCGCCATGGGATATGAAATGCAAGACGGGTCCAGGTGGGCAAAAACAGCAGCAGCACCCTTGAAGGCCCATGACGTCACCAAAATGGGCAAAGCAAGACACACATGACCATGTCCTTACCCACTGGAAGACCCCAATTCCACTCTCTGCAACTAACTCATTCATAGACTCTCTGCCCCAGCCTAGATATTTTTTTCAAAAGCTCCGTGGAACAATAGCCCTGGGTGTGTTGATTTCACTCCAAAACAGCTCCTTTTGTCCACTTCACACAATCTTATGACATCCAGGAATTGGCCATAGCACATAGAGGGAAGAAAATGCCCTGCTGGCTACAGACTACTCATAAATCAGCTTTTTTTTTTTTTTTGCATCATTCCCAGTCACCCAGAACCTGAGCTGGCCATGGGTGCTTAGGCTATGAAATTTCTATGCTTCAGAAAAAACTCCTAGCACTGGTCAAGCCCCTGAGCCCTTTCCAACTAGTCACCAGGCTGGCAGTGTGCCCCCTCATATTTGAAAAGCACTGTGGACACTTCGGTGGGGGCATCAGTGAGGGACACAAGATGAGAATTGGGAACCCTCATTGAGTGTCAGCAAACAGTGGCAGAATGACACCCACTCTCCAGAGAAAAGTGGGGCCTGGGGTGGGAAGGCAATAGAATCCAGGAAAGAAGAAACAAAAAGGTGAGAAAGAGAGAGAAGAAAAGTGGGAAGAGAGACGGACGATAGAAAGAGAAAGACCAGGAAAAGGAAGGAAGAAGTAGCCAACAGCAGACAAGATGGGCAGAGAATTTTCCGCTAGAGAAAGCCAGAAACTAAAAGGGGAAAGAGAATGTGGGGGTAGGAAACTGGGAAGGATCACCAAGCAGAGAAAGAGCACTGGGCTTTCAAACCAGGTGCAGAGGAGAGAAGAGGATAAACAGTATAAACGCAGAGACTGTGCATGCGGAGCACAATTCTTTAGGGCTCTCTAGTGCTCTCAGTGTGGTGCGCAGTCCTGGCTGCTGCTGGGGATGCTCATTCCAGGCAGCCAGGCCACTTTCCCCACACTCACTCCCAACCACCAAGCAAGCCAACCTTCTCATGGGCAGACCCGGGCTGGAGCCCAAAGGCTTCCTGACAGCGCCACAGCGCTGCGAAGATAGGCTCTGGGGTGCCTAGCATCTAGGGACTTGACACTCACAGCGCTAAAGTGTCCACAGGGTCCCCAGCAACTACAGGCACAGCCTTTCCCGCCCCTGGCTGACCCACTGAGAAGTAGCCAAAGACTCACCTGGAAGGTCTCAGCCTGGCATCGCGCTTGCCGTCCACCACGGCGGGCACGCAGCTGGTGAGCTCGGTCCAGTCGGCATGCAGCCCGCAACTCCAGCCGGTGGAGAACCTGGAGAAGAGCCAGGTCTCCCTCTTACCCGGCCGGTGGCAAGTGCATTTCTTCTGCCCCACGCGGCACTCACATGGCTGCTCCAGCTGGATGTTGCGCACCAGGTGACGGCCAAAAGTGGTGCCCCCAGTCTTCTGGATGTGCAGGAACACGATCAGGTCATCGCCCTTGATGTCGAAGTCTACCTTGCGCAGGAGATCGCTGCGGCTGAAATTGTAGCGGGGTACAAACCTGGCGGAGCTCTCATCCTCCGAGCGGTACGGATCGGGCACCGGGGAGCTGAACGCCTGCAGGCGGAGGAGCTGGCATTCTGTGCCGGGGCACACGTATTGGAGGACGATCACGGCAAATAGGAAGAGCATCACCAAAGCCAGCAGCAGCTTGTTGGATTTCTCATCCATGTTCCCGACGCTGGGGGAAACCCAAGCTCGTTACGTCAATCCCGCAGCTCGGCCCGCTCTCGCCTTGCTCCCGCACCGCCCCCTCCCCGTGGCGCCACCGTTGCGCCCCTTTCCCCTCCCGTCCGCACCGAGTACTCCACCACGGAGGCGGCGGCGCCCTTCCCCGCTTCCTTCCTTCCCGGCAGGCTCAGCGCTGTGGCTTCTGCTGCACCCCCCCCCTACCCCGACTCCATCCCGCTGGCCGTTGGTCCCCTCCTCCGCGGAAGAACCCCGGATCCCTTCCGCGGTGTCTCGTTCCCCGCAGGATCCCTCCTGTCCCGGTCTCTCCACTCCCTAACTCATGCCCACCCCTATCCCGCACCCGGTGCTTCCCGCTCTGTTCTCTCCAGCTCCCATCCCCATCCCGCTTGGCCCATGGGACTCTCCGGTGTTCCGGACCCCAGTCCCCTCCGCGTGCGCGAGCTGCCGACCCGAAACGCGGGCTCCCTTGGCGCGTGTCCCGTTGCCTACCGGGTGGCCGCTGGGAGTGAGCTGGGCTTTGGGGGTTCCCCTGGAGGGGAGGGAAGGAGCCCGCGGGCGGCAGGACTTTGCAAGCCGAGGCGGCGCTGCCCTTTCCCGCGGAACCGCGGGGAGGGAGCCGCACGGCGGTCAGTTGCGCTCTCAGCCAGTCCCGAGTCCCCCAGACCGGTCACTGCAGGCTCGCTGGAACTTTGAGCCTTGCCCTCCGCACCCAGCTACCTTCCCTCCTCCCGCCGCCCCAGCTTACCCTGGACCCAGAGAGCGAACCCCACTTTCGCCCACAACGTACCTGGCCAAGGGACCGAAAATCTTGGAGAAGATCGCACTGAGCACGTGCTTGAGCGAGTGGCCCACGGCTGCCAGGCCCCGAGTGAGCAGGGCCCGGCAGAGGGAGCCCAGGTCCCAGCGTCGCCTGAGGTCGTGCATCCGCCTGCGGCGGCCTCGAGGCAGCAGCGCGAAGAGCGGGGCGCGCAAGGCTCCCGCCAAGGAAGAAAATGCCTTTGGGGGCTTGTCCTGGAGTGGCGGGGAGTTGAATCCCAGAGACACACCCCTAGGAGGGCCGGCGCGGACTGAGGCGGCGACCGACCCGGGCCGGCTTGCTGCCAATTCAGCCTCTACTCTGGAATGCCGGCGGGGACAGGTGGTGCGGGCGGGCGCTCCTTGCTCCGGTTGCAACGGCGGCGGCCCGAGCGCCCGGGCTGCAAACGCAGGCAGTGCCATTCCCCCCTTCAGGCAACTCAGGGTACTAAGGATCAGGAGCGAGCTTGAATTTATATAATAATGCCTCGCGCCCAAGAGCCTCAGCCACTTCACAGGCAAAAGACCTGGGTTTTCTCCTGTGTGGGAGTACGGAGGTCACTCCAGAGAGCGCATCACTCCACTTTGGCTCGTAATTTCAACCTCCCTTAAAATAGCAAAGGCGCAAATTGGACCTTTTCCCTCTCTCTTTGCCAATTTCCATTCTGCAACGGAAGAGGGGGTATTTTCTGAAAAGGTAAGTCAGCATGGAAATAAAGCATGACTAAAAAAACCTTACATGGGGGATTTTGAGCATTTTCAAAGCACACTCGCCCTTATTCCTCCCCACTGCTGAATCCCCTGCACCAAGCCCCCACCCCGCTGCAGAAAGATTTCACTCACTACTGTTTATTGAATGAATGAATCTATAACTACGCACCACATCAGAGAGAGACCATCTTATTCAAGATGCCGTGCTATATGAGGAAACTGAAGCCCAGAGAGAATTAGATATATACCCAAGGTCACACAGCTCAGCACTGGGATTTATTTTCAGAAATCCAGAAACTATCCAACCATTTTTTCATAATTAGAACATGTCTCTCAATAAATATGTATGTGATTATTATCAAGCCCAGTTGTCCAATAGGCTCTTTTCAGCTGGGAGACCAGGGTTTGCAAGAATTTAAAAATGGATATTCCTTCAGAACAAGGCCCCCGACAACTTGGGACCCGGACATTTCCTATCTAATTAATAGGGGAAACTGCAGTGCATGAAGACACTGGAGAGCACTGAACATGCACTCCCAGCCCAACTGATGCAAAAGTAGTGTGGGTTAACAGCAATGTTTCAAAGTAGTAGTACCATTGGCATTGGGGCCACTGGAAGAGGATGCTGTAAGCTGAGTGCCAGTGTAGGGATGTTCACCTCCAGAACATTATCTCCCTTGCTGTATGGTGAAGCAGCATGCAGAGCACTGATCCAGGAGTCCTTGGAATCTTTTCAGTTCCTTACAGAAACTGGGGCGTAATAACTTGCCCTTCCTGAGGCTCAGTTTTCTTTTCTGTCACACAAGTCTAATAACAATGCGTCCACTTTAACCAAGCAGGCTAGTGTGAAGCTAAAATGTAGAAACCTTTGGGCAACTCCAAATACCAGATGTTGTTTACCTGCAACTCTTGCCGAGGTGTACCAAATGAGTCTGAGGCTAGTTAAAGAAGGAAGGGGCCCCTGCCCTTCTCAGAATCCCCAGTCCCGTCTAGATTCACCCACACCCTGGGGAACCTCCTGGGACATTAAGGGATTCTTTGTGTAGCTGCTGCAGGTGTCAAGAATAGTACACCTCTTGGGAATTCTGCATTCATGGCATTCCTGCATCCCTGGCCCTGAACTCCAGGAGCAAAGTTGTGCAAAGGAACTGGATGCTGCAATACACAAAGAAGACCTCAGACTCCCACCAAAGCTTCCCTGGGTCTGCTAAGTCTGTGGAATAGGACCTACTCCCCGCTGGGGGCAGGTAAGGATGTAAGCCCTGAAGCTACAGGGATTATCATTTTCATGGCCACCCACACAGTGGCCTCTTTGGCTGACACAGTAGGTAGCTGTCCTCATGGTGCCATATAAGGTTCTCCCTGTCATTATATCACCATTATAATGGCGTTCAGTGGTCCCTAAGAAAAATACCTTCTGAAACTGGTGGTTCGCACATTCAATCCCTCAGCTACTAATTATGGAATTTTTGTTGAAGAAGGATTAATGGGATTGGAATATGGGAAAGGAAATTACTTTGGGTGGAGAGTAGAGGGAGGTGGTGAGCAGCACCAGGGAAAATTAGGATTTTCTCAAAGTGTAAAAAAGAAACCTGGGCCCAAGTGTAAACACACATGCACAAACAGGCAAGCACATTCATAATGAATATCAGAGGAATCTCGAGTCAGGTTTATCTCTACAGAGCCAAAGGAAGTAAACTGCACTTATTGAGATACAGTGCTTGGCCAACACACCAATGTGAACACATACACAGCTCAGTGAAGGATATTTTCATTTACAAGCCCTTCCTTGATGCCCCCCCCTCTTCATGATTGTGAGACAAAATGAATCATGTAGACTAGCCAGGTAGCTCAGCAGGTAAAAAACACTTGCTTCCAAGCCTGGCTATCTGAGTTCAATCCCTGGGACCCACGTGGTGAAAGGAAAGACCCAACTATTGCAAGTTGTCATCTGACCTCCACAGGAACACAACAGCGCATGCATGCACACACACACACACACACACACACACACACACACACACACACACACACTAAAATATTTAATAACAAAAAAATCTTATGTTTATTATTTTGAAATACATTCTCACTATGTAACCCTAGATGGCTGGCTTAGAACTTCCTATGTAGACAAGGCTGACCTTGAACTCACAGAGATCCTCCTGCCTCTGACTCTTGAGTGGTGGGATTAAAGGCCTGAGTCCCCACACCTAGCTCATAATGGTTTAAGCAAGTTGATCATTTTTTTTTTCTTGGACCACATTCATAGATAGCTATTCTCAGCAGGCTGCCCACTTACTGCAGGTTGGACACACGAGTGCGGCTTCTGGGAGATACTGAGATGGGAGGAAAAGAGCAAAGGAACAAGCTGAATTGCAAGGTTATCCATCTCCCAGGAGCAACTTGAGTTGCAGTAGGTAGAAACATTTAGGATTTGGTACTTGGAAGGTAAGGAGGACACTGCAGTCTGAACAGGGCCTCTGGTTGACTCCACAATGTGGTGAGGTTTTCAGTATTTGCACAGACTGTCCTTCAGTGGTTTTCAACAAAAGGTTGATGATTCAGAGAGCACAAAGGTCAGCCTGGCTTGTATAGTAAGCAGAGCACTGGGAGCCCTGCGTCTGGGTGTTGGAGGCTGAGAGGACTGGCCAGAGTCCTTTGTTAAAGGCATGAATCTGAATCCGGAGGGCACCCACTGAGATGGCCAGGTTCTTTTGTCACAGAACAAAGAAGTGAACCAGGGACACGTGGATAGTGATAGAAATAGTGACAGTCCATTAAGAAAGACAATGGCACTCTTGAGAATGGGAGTGGGCTAGAGAGCTGGGACAAATCCCAGGCTCAAAAATCTCTTTCTAGGTGGCTCTGCTTTCTCCCACACTTGCAGATTGCATGAATTTCCCAGGGATGCTCTGCTTGGTTACAGACAGACGCGGTGGAGAAGGGGGCAGCCGGGGGGGGGGGGGGGGGGGGGGGGTTAAGGTCCTTCTGACTTCTTTCATGTGTTAATCTTGATGCCTCTTTCTCCCTGCCCTACTTTCCCACCACACCTTAACTAGGATGCAAAGAAGTCTAGTAGGCCAGGGAAGCTGCTTTCTTGCTGGCTTCTTTTGTCCCCTGTGTATAAGACAGCAAGGTTAATGCAATTCAAAGAGCACTTTCCTGATCTGATAATGCCAAGACCAAGGTTTACTTCTTTGTCTGCTTCAAAAGCCAAAATGCCACAGACAGTGGAAGAAAGTTGGATTCCTGGTCCTCAAAATGAAATTCTCCAGCATTCTATGGCATTAGAGAAACACAGTATCTCAGCGGCTACATTTGTTCTGGGCCTCTAACACACTAGCGACAGCAGGATACCCTGTTCAAATTAGAATAGAAATAGTGGAAACAATATTAGGGAGAGTGTGGCACATTTACTATAAAGCATAGAACAATATGTTCGCCCTCATCCTGAGTATTCACTTCAACCCCGTTTTTCCAGCTGTCTATAATTTTTTGAAAATGCTCATATTCTCAATAATAGGCAATTTTTGTCACAAAGACTGAAGTCATGCAAATGGTAGAGCCAATTCATTTCTGTGTTTATGTGTCTCTCCAAACTGAATGAACAGCGGTGCTTAAGGAAACGCTATGCTGAAGCTCAAGCTTTAATATTACAAACAGGTTGGGTGTGTTACACATATCCCTCTCCACAGTCCTGTTTTCCCTCACAAAACACAGAGCTTTGATTTCTAGCCTGACAAAACCTGGGGCTCAAGAAATTAAAAGAGGAGGATAATGTTGGGGTGCTGTGCATACTAAAGGAGTGTGTGTTGTGAAAGTAAAAATAAGCAGCGGATGGGGTGCACAGTAACCTCATCAGTATGAACGTACAGATTGATGACTGTGGAAGCATTTCAGGAACAGGGAAGTTTCCCCTACTTGCTGAGAAGGAATAGAAGTTAGCTCCTGCTGGGCTTTTAGACCTACAGCATGCCAACCTGCAGCAACCATAGCCTCAGCTCCTAGGCAGTCAGCTCACTTCTCTGCATCCCAGTTTCTGTGCAGAAAATAGTGAGTTGTTTTATGGGCACAGTAAGTATGATTCCAATCTCAAGTAAGCCTCCTTAAAGAGAATACAGCAAAACTCTGGAGAGAACATTGCTCTGGAGTTCAATTGGTGCTCTCTGAGTACCTCACTGGGTTCTCACGTGAATTAACTAATCTGCTGAGAACACTTTGGGTTCCTGGACAAGCAGACCTTTCTCTACCAATTTTTGTTTGTTGTTTGTTTGTTTTTCGAGACAGGGTTTCTCTGCGTTGCTTTGGCGCATTTCTTGGAACTCACTCTGTAGCCCAGGCTGGCCTCGAACTCACAGAGATCCAACTGCCCGTCTCCCCAGTGCTGGGATTAAAGGCGTGTGCGCCACCACTGCCCGGCCTCTCTATCAATTTTGAGTCTGAACATCTCTGATCTGATATCTTTTTTCTAATACTAACATACTAATGATGGGTAGCTGGCATGGACCTAACAGCAGCTCAAGTGGCTTTGTCCTCATACTATTTATTTCTAGTATTGTCTCACCTTCCTCCCACAGCTCTCTATCACTCTGCTGATGTCCCTTGGTGGATCTAGTCAGCCACATGAAGGAGTAGGGCACAAATTCATGATAACTTCCCAAAGATACCAACAAAACAGAAGGAGGAGTAAGGTGCTTAAACCTACTGAACACTCCCTCTGGTGGGATACTCTCAGAGCCAGCAGAGGAGAGACTTGTGGAACTCGGTGGAAGAGACCAGAGTTCTATGCAAGTGAAGGGGAGTGCTGACAAGGCCAGCCTCCTCCCAACGCTTGTCACTAGTTTTCAGCTCTACTCATTTCCAAGAGTAATAACTGAGTTAGCCAGAGGGGTTTCAATTTGAGCAGCTGGTCAAACCATGGCAGTTGGGATTGAAAAAACAAGGTCAGTTTTGCACTCAGCTTGCATGAACCAGAACTGAGCAAGCCCACCCATCAGCTAATCCCTGGGCTGGTTAGTCCACAGTGGCAAAGTAGATAGTACATCATGATAGAGGCCACAACAACGGCGTTAGCTCACTGCGTGACCGAGGGTGAGTCACTTGGTATCTCTGTTATCTCTGGGATTCAATTGTTCCCCTTGATAAAATAGTAAGGTGGCATTAGATCCTAACAGTCTCTCTCAAGAGGAAATGTGTGTGTGTGTGTGTGTGTGTGTGTGTGTGTGTGTGTGTGTGTGTGTGTGTGTATGTGTGTAGTGTAGTGTAATCGTTGCTAACTAATGGGAGGTCAAACCTTTTCTGGATCTGCCTTTCTGGACACTACCAAAGATGACCAACCCTCTAGCTAGAAGCTGAGTCAAAAAAGGCAGAATGAAGGGCCTAGAAAGATGGCTCCATGGTTAAGAACACTTACTGCTCTTGCAGAGGATCTGAGTTCAGTTCACAGCATTCACATAGCAGTTCACAATGGTCTCTAACTCTAGTTCCAGGGTTTCCAATGGCTTCTTCTGGCCTCCATGGGCACTGCATATACAAGGTGCGTATACACACATGCTACCAAAACATGCACATAAAATAAAACTAAGTTTTAAAATCTTTTTAAAAAGCAGAACAAGGAGCTGGGAAGATGGATCAGTTGCTCTTGCAGAGGAGCCAGGTTCAATTCCCAGCACTCACATCACAACTGCCTGTAACTTCAGGTCCAGGACATCTGACACCCTTTTGTGGCTTCTGTGGCCACTGTACACACATGGTACATTTGCATACAAGCAGGCCAAACAGCCATAAAATAATTAATAACAATAAATAAATATTTTTAAAGCAGAACAAGAATTTCAATGAGGAGCAAACTTTTTGAGGACAGGCCATGGTGATGCATGCTTTTAATCCTAGCACTCTGGAGGCAGAGGCAGGCAGATCTTTGTGAGTTCAAGGCCAGCCTGGTCTACAGAGCGAGTTCCAGGACAGCCAAGACTACACAGAGAAAGCCTGTCAAAACTTTCCCAGGTCACATGAATAAAATAGAAACCTGAAATAGAAGTTTGGGGCTCTACTGACTGACATGGTAAAATCAAATCGAAAGACTTGGGGAAAATAGTACTGCGAATGGACCTCCGACTGACTTGGGAGTGATAATAAAAGTAAGTGGCTTTGCCTGGCCCAGGGTCTCCCATTTGCTTCGCATTCTGGTATCTTAACAAGAAAGGGATGCATTCACTCTTCATCCATTACTGACTGGTCACCACAG